AGGGAAAAAATAGAATCCCCCATTCAGCATCCTGTGGAAGCGCCGCCACGAATGATCGCGAGAGAAAAGTCGAGCGTATGAAAAAAGAGGAAGACAAAAAGAAATGATGAGGCTTCTCGCTGCGGTAGCTCATAATGACGGCTTGCGCGCCGCGTGAGCCGGCTTGATCGTTCATTAAGCGTCGAACCGACCCCGGATGCGGACGTACGCGACTATACGACGTGCGTACACGCGGACCACGCGTATACGCACACATGGGGGCCCAGCCGCTTGGCTCCGGCAACACGAACGTGACCCGGCCAGTCTTGCCGAGGCTGCAAGAAACGGAAGAAACGTCACGTATGCGCCCGCATCCGGTTTTCAGCAAGACTATCGAAAACCGTGAGACTCTATTGTTGTTAAGTGTAAAAGGAAAGAGGGTAAATTTGAATGGCATTTTTTTGATATAATATAAGATATGAAAGTTGTATTCAAGAGATCTTGAATCTTAGATTTATTTTTATAACGAATATTTGAAGCAAAATTTTTTACAATATTTGATTAATAATGTATTCTTGTAAAGCAGTGCAGTTTTTTAAATTTTCTATTGATTATAATTAACTATTAGCAGATTGCAATAAAATTGCAACAACGCATACTGACTTTGCCCGAAAGGGTTCGCGCGCGTTTACATGAGAACTCACATTGAGGTATCTTTAAGTCATCCGTCGAACAATGGATCGCGCGGAAGCGTCGAACTGACGTTTTTATCTGTGCCGGATACTGGATGCTGGATCGATCCCAGATCTCGCGACGCGTTATGCGACTTTCCCGGGGTCCTCTATCTCGGCCACGGGATCGTGGAAAAATTCTCAGCTCGGTGAAATTTCTGAAACTCTTAACGCGAGAATAATTAACGCCGACCTCGGAGGGAAGAGAGGTCCGCCGGCTTTATTTCCGTCGCGGCGGCACTCGAGTACACCGCGACCTCGAAGGTCAATTCGTTTTAGCCGCGGTCGCGCCGGATAATTTATGACTACGGTGTTCGCTATTACTATGAGTTCCTGATGTCCCATCTCGCTGTCTTCTCGGTGGCTTTCTTTCTCGCGGAACCTGTCTCGCCCGGGAACGAAATAGTTAACCGAGCGGCTTCGCTAAAACCGGTAAATTACACGCGTGTCTTTGATAAATGCAGTGTATTAAGATAAAATCAGAAGCGCAAAACTACTGTTTGCGGTAAGATTATCGTTTCTTTTACCTCCTGTACGCTTCGCACGTCATACTTTCTACTTTCTACTAATTGCAGACGCGTTGGATTAGAGATTCGGATAAAATTGAAGAACGTTACATTATATCACATTTTGCATACAACGATGTGTTATTTTGTCCGAGATACCGAAGTATCGCGGTACAATCCTGACTCATGCTTTCGTCCGCTGACGAGCGCAATCTTGACGTACGGGCTTCATGGAGCGGGCATTGTCGCGAAAGATACGTGCGTTGCATGTTAGTTCATTTTAACACGTCGTTACGATATTTCACACTCAGACCTTGCGTGGTTCTCAGTATTATCGCCGTAGATATCCCGCTGCTGTAGCCTCCTTCGTTTACATGCAACGAAGTCCCCTGGCAATAGTATTTATTGGAAACTATCTGGCTGCGAAACTTTTAGATTGTGCAATATGTTTAGAAATATATTGCTGATCGGTTTTGAAAAAAAAAGAAACATTTATTTAAGTCTCTTTTTTGAAACAAGTTTCTCTTTTATTTTCTGAAATATCATCTGAGAATTTAAATATCTCATGATCCGCACACTCAAAAAAATGTCTTGCTGATATAGGTAGATTTCTAGGTGTCACAACAAAAATTTATCGTTATTTTTTGTATCTGTTATAATATTGTCTGTTACATATAGAATTTATAGCAGCAATATTCTAATAATATCTTCTAGAAAATTTAGGTCCCATTGCCAAATGTTAATCACTGCATTGGATAAATATGAGTTTCGATACTACAGCTAGAACACTCTTTGTGAGAAATATAACTGCCAATTATAACTGCAGCATCGAAAAATTGAGAGAAATTGTTTAAAAGAGCTGGATAGATTGGGCGCGTTATACAAATATGTTAGATGTGAGGATTATATATTTATTTGTTTCTTGCCGCTAATTTTTTTTGTGTACCACAGCCAAACTTTATAACGAGTATGATTGGCCTTAACATGGATAGGCGCCACAGAAAAACATTCTTTCTAAATTTCACAAACAGTTCAGATATAAATTCTGTCTCTGTCACTTAGATTGATTAAATGCGAAACATATGCGATATCACAGTATTTGCTAATCATTTATGTACCTCAGTTAATTTTGCGCACCCAGAAAATTTTTGCTGTAGTTGCAATACCACTTTTTTGAGTGCAGACTCTACACACACATCGTAGGTACTGTGTTAGTTTTATTATTTTTTATCTACAATATATTTATATCTCTTCTTCTGATAAAATAAGTTGTACGACAATGAAATTTTTCTACGTGTTTCTGTGAATTCGAATTTTAACTATTTTCGCGAGTATAGCTGCAGATAATTCTTGTATTACTATGCAAATATCGTCAAACCCAACTTGGACAACAAAACGCGCTCGGACGATCTTTAAACAATGGCTTCCTCCCTTGGAAGTTTCTGAAGTGTCGTTACGATATTTGTCATACGTGCCGTCGACGCGCTACTAACAATATAAACCTCGTAAAAAAAAAAAAAAAAAAAACGTGAGAAAATACGAGGAAAAAAAGTCTGATACGCAAAACATGACGTCTTGGAACGTGCGACCTATAGAATCTTCTATCAAGAAATAAATATTACAATGTCAACACGTACGACTTCTTATTCTTGGTAATTAGAAATTTATATTCGTGGAATTCGACATTCGTGTTTGCCATGTCATGTTTTCAACAACTTCATAAAATGATATAACTGCGTTTTTCATCAACATACATTTTACATTTTCTGCCTTACTGTATATTCAATAGGGTACTATAAAATCTAACAGTCCACAAATCATTGACCCGATGTGACCTCATTCTGAAATTCATCAAAGTTAATTAAGTTATATTCCAAAGCCTTTCATCGAACGTGTCATTTAACGTATCGTTATATCATTCTCGTTAGCAACCGATTCGTCGATCAAACGATGTGCGTGCAATGTTTGCTGCCCGTGTAGTCTTCAATTTTATAACTATTCTTTTATGGCGAGTTGCGTAGAGAGAGAACGCGCCTTTGAACGTCTCGTCGAGGGACCGGGAACGATCTTCCCGCTAGCAAATAGTGCTTAATGGAATTTTTATGGGCAGTTGTAAATATTTTAACTCGAAATAATGAAGACATTTGGTAGTATCATAGAAATGGCTTTTACGATCGCTACCCTCACCTATATCCCGCTTAAATGCTGCGAAGCCGCTTCTACAACCGGATTGGAGAATATAACGCGATAACAGCTGAGCAGAGCCTGCCTAGAAGTGTTAATTCTAGGCATTATAAAAATAATTACAATATGTCCGTTCGTGTATTTCCGATACCGCTTTACTGCGAGAAAATTTGTGCGGGGGAATTTGTGTTTATTCTGAATTATTACGAGATACTTTAACTATATATATATACAGTATCCGATAAAAATTTGATTAATGAATCGGTTATACTCTTCGACACGTTTTGGTAGATAGACAAAAATATTTTATTAGGCATTTAAGGAATATCTATTACGGAATAATTATCGACTAATGAAGCGCGTTCGATCGCACGCGAAGGAGATGAGTAAAAAATAACGGAGCACACCCGGGTGCGGAAAGAATTGCGAAATACGAAGCTCTCGTATCTCTCGCGTTGCCGGCACCGTCGCCTGCATTAAACCGCGGCCGATCGTATCGGCCGGCAAATTCGGCGACATGGACGAGTTACTGCCTCCATAAAATTCCAAGCGTTTAACGATGACAAGAATTTATTGGATATTTTAGGTAGTGGACAGTGACCCCCACGATACTCCTCGTTCCCCGCGTCTTTTCGGTCGATCCTCCCCGGGGTCTCTGATCAAGGCAGAAGATAATGGCGCCAGGACGGGACCATTTATTGAGCGTAAATCTCCAGCGCCAGTGGCTAGCGCCGCCACCGTGTGTAATCGCGTCCTACGGTTATCCCTCTTAACGTATTTCATTCGAATTCCCGGTGTGTCGAAAGACGCCGTTTACACGGCGCGATGTTCCGAAAGCTTTACGATGTACCGTGAGAATTACCATCTCGTTACGAAACTGAAGCCATCCCGCGAGAAACGAATGCGATGGAAATGCCACGAATTTATCTCTTCGTCAAAGGTCCAGAATTGAGAGTTTTGACATAAGATCGTTGCGTTTGACAGCTGAAACTTTTGAACACTCCTCAAAACCGCCATGTGCCTTAGAAATAGGTATATCGTAATCTTTCTCGTATAACTCGACAATCTCAAGTAGAATAAACATTCTTTTCGGAGATTCGTGCACTTTTAATATTTTCTATAGATCGAAAACTAATATATATTTATCCGTTTGATTTCTTCAGGTGAGGTGTCGGGCGAAAACGTGTCCGCGGGCACGGGACCAACACGTGGCGGCGACCGAGGAGAGGCGGCGGATTTAGGTACGCACACGGAAAACAACGACGGGGCCACCCTGGCAGCGAACACAGCGGTCGACGCCAGGGGCGGAAGCCCTCAGGGTGCCCACCTGTCTGGTGCGGCGACCCCCAGACCGCCAAGGAGTAGAAGGCGGCAGAATCAGAATGGTCTCGACACTACCCAAGTAAGTAGAAAGTGTTTTCCGTTTGCAAATCGCGGACGCTGTGCTATTTTTATAGTTATATTAATTATTATTAATATATTTAATATATTCTCTCATATCTCTCGAATAATATTTGCTCTTTCTTACTTCTGATTATTCGCTTCCGAAAAGATTTACAATGGATGTTTGGAGTTAAATTTTGACACGGTACACAAAACTTCTACGCACGTATAGGCAAACACAATCTTACTATATTGACGTAGAGAGTGACTGAACGCGTCGTTTGGAATTTTTATTTATTTTTTTTTTTTTATTCGTTGGGAGAAGGACGCAAGTTGCCGCGAGGACGCGAGATTTGTTGTACAAATTTTTCGAGAGACCCGCTGCTTCTTCCGTGAAGTGGAGTGTTTGAGCACTTGGGGACACGTGCGCTAGTCTGGGGAGATATCCTCGATGAGAGAGTCCATCGCTCCTGCTGCCCGAGTGGTAGCTTCGTACACGTGTACGCGAAGAGTCCCGTTCAAAATCAACCATGCAGCAACTATGTCAACCGCGTCGAAAGCCGCAGTGTCATTCCGCCGTTGACATCCGTCGACCCGTTCGACGCTTCTGTAAACGACTTGACCGAAAAAAAAAAAAAAAAAAAAAATGAAAGAGGAGCCTTTGGTGGCTGTGCTTAGCAATGCTTAGAGCTGCGATGGTAAAAAATTGATGATCATCGGTAGAAAGAATAGCGTCCGTGACACGCGAGAATTTCTCCTAACTCAGGCCTGTAGGCCTTATGAATAGAAAGATCTTCGAAGAATAGTAGCAACTCGAGAAATTAATCCCTTGCGTGTGGCAAGCGTCATCCTGACTTATTAACTTTTGGTATCGAGAATCCGCTGGAGTGAATCGAGCGAGTCAATAAATACGAACGGAAGGATTAATTTTTTTCTCGCTTGGAATATATTATCTGGAAAAAAATTAAGCATGCTCGGTAGTGAAGAATTTTATCGTACGAAAAACGTGTATGCAATATTTTAAATTTAATTCCGAGATATTATTTTTGTAACGTAATCTAATTATTTTATTATAATAATTTCTTTGTTATATAATTATGTAAAAATAAAAATCTCTCTCTAAAATTTCTTTGACTTCAAAATTATTTTGTTTATTTCTTGCAATCGAGTGGAAACTATTATTTAAAAGAAAAGGATGACTTTTGTGCATCAAAGTTCTGTTGCTACTTTCTGTCGCTACTTCTCGCCTTCGCGTATTTTCTCTATCGAGAGCCGAAGGTATCGCCGAGCAAACCTCTATTCGAAACGTAGGTATATACGAGATCGTGTCTGCTTCGTGAGCCTGAAGCAGTCCCTTGTCAGGAAGAGGTCTGGAGGCGAGAAAGAGATTTACCGTGGCCTCTCTGTGCGAGAGCGGCCACGGAGTTCTCTCGGACCGCGGCTCTCGGGGACCCTATTCTACGCCAATCGACTCTCGTTCTTCTTAGTGTCACGGCGCGCTCTCTCGCCGCGTCGCGTCGCCGAAGAGGAGTCAACTCTTACGCCACGCGTTACCTTCATTACCATATCTCAGATGCAATCTGTTCCCGGGAATTAATGCACCCGAGATATTTCCTGCCGCCTCGGATCTTACCCGGAGCGAAACGTATCGTGCGCTGCAGCTGCCGACGAGTATCCCTCACGACCGAGGGCGTGGCACGTCGTTGATCCGTCTCGAGAGAAACGAAACAATTTTTTTTTCTCATATACTCGTTTATTAGTCTTTAAGTATAGTCGCGCGGGCAAGATATCGATCATATGATAATCGGTGGCACAATGGAAAAGCAGACGTTTCTTTATCGCAGAAAATAGATTTACAATAATAATTATTAATTGTAATTATCTGTTTTATTATCTCATCGCTCATTATTGTTTCAAACATTTTAATTAGTTATAATTAATATTTGCGTTGCACGTATACAATTCATATAGAAAGCAACCAATTATTTATTTTTCAATCAATCATCAATTATTACATATTTTATAGAAATGAATATTTTTAAATAGAATATATATAAAGGGACTTTTCCACGTGCAAGCGAAGATCGGTATCGATGCGTAGCTAAAGTTGTTTTTCTTGTAAAGATATATTGTTGAAAGTTACGGCCTTCAATATTCAAACATGAGGCACGACAGTAGTAAAGATAGTAAGATTATTGTTATTGCGGATAAGATGAAATGAACAATTCGCAGACGTGCCGATGGCAGCTTTACGTGAGAAGACACTTAAGAGTTTACATTTTATTAATCGTATATGTCATTACGCGATAAAATACACGAATCAAGCAACAAAAGTTGAAAATTTAAAAAAATTTAAAAATTAATGTATAAATTAAAATACATAGGAGATTTTTTATAATTAAAAGTAGAGATATTTACTCTGTTTGTGTACATAACTCTGTTTGTGTAAATATCTTAAATTATATTAGAATTATAACAAATTATCGCTTATACATTAATTTAATTTTTTGCAAAAATGTTTATGTATAAAAACATTAACAATTAGTACTTTTTAGTTAAATCAAATAATATTAAGTGTGTATTTCCGTTGCACTTGTCTTTATCATTTGCTAATTAGTACTTCTGTTCTCTTTATTGCCGGTTAATTGCTCCGTATTCTTCTTCTCATTATCGCATCCGGTTGCGCACGGTGAGGTCTCGTTTAAAGAAGGGCAATTGTGTCGCGTTGCAGGTTAAAACGGAACGACTCACGCCTGACAATAACTCGACATCGTCGAGGAGCGTGACGCCTTCTTCGTCGAGTCACCCGGGGACGCCGCCAAATGCTACGCCGTTGGGAGGACCCGAGGGTCCACCGCCACCCCATCATCTCAAGCACATGGAACAGATGATGGGGCGAAATTATAGCGATTTCATGAGAAGTCTCGCCGCCAAATACAACAATGCCAACCCCAACGAGTACGTCTATCTTACTTTATTTATTACACTTCATTTTTTGCGTTAGTTATATTTTTCATATTGATCACGGGATTAATATAATAATGATACAAAAAAAAAAAAAAAAAAAAAAAAAAAAAAAAAAAAAAAAAAAAAAAAAAAAAAAAAAAAAAAAAAAAAAAATACATTGCAATAATAATATTATTTCGATAGGATCGGCATATAGATATTACTTGTTCAATATCATCTTATCGATTCTGACGTCATATCTATCTTAATGTCTTATGTGATTAAAGGAAAATAATTTCGCAAAAACGTCTTTGAATATTTTCGTCGAAGCGTGACATGCGAGTATATTGACTTTTATCGATCGATGAAGACCGCGAGACGTTGTTGTAAAAAAATTGAGACTTGAAGGCAGAAAATAGATGAGTCAAGTGATTAAGATTTGTAAGACGCAAAGAATAACCGAGGTATCCGATGTTACTCTCGTATAAAACCGGTTGTCCGTTCGCGTCGTACGTTGACTTTTCAGCTTTGTATCTTCTAGCACTTGTTGGAAGCAGATCCAGATGAATACTTAATTGATCAGTTAAACACCAAACAGATTCTAGCTGTGCGATGCTCATTCTTCTTGACATTTGAAGGAGAAAGTTTTATTCTCTAATTCATTGCATGCCTATTTGCATCTTGTCATATTTAATCTGTACGTTAATCTATTGAATTTGGAGATTAGAAAATAAAGTATCTCGGATCTCTCTGTCTGATATTAAGACAGTTTAAAATATTAGAAATCATAATATATTCATTTTCCAAATAATTTTAATTTAAAATTTTTTAATTAAAAGTTAGAAAGTTTTTGAAAATGCTTGTAAAAGCATTTTAAAAAGTAGAAGTATATATTTTTGGAATCTTCCCCTTTTTTTATACAAAAAAGAAGGTTCATAATCAAAATCGATTGATTGTTTCAGTTACTTCAGCACGTCGAGGAACGGATATCCTCCGGGTTTAGATCCGAGGTTTCCGGCCTTCAAGACCGCGGCGACGCCATTTGTTGGTCTGATGGCGCCTTTAGGGGCACCACAACCACCGACTGTCCCGACGACCTCCCCTCTTTCCAACAAAGATCCGAAAGAACAGAAACAGGATAGTCTCTTCGGCAATCCCGTGTTTCCGCCTATGATCGATATGTCTTCTACTCAAGCTCTTCTTCACATGGTACGCACTGCCAATGCGGCTCAAAACGCTGCTGAATTGGAAACATATCTCAAAGGTAAGTATCAAAAAATAAGACCTTGTTTACAGATAAGAGAAATCCCATTTATCTGTCATTTGCAAATAATTATTTTCTAATTATTTTTTAATTCCTGTTTATTTTTTACTGTACACGTTTTTTATTATTTATAATATTTAAAAACAATTGATATTTTGACATTCTTCTGAAGGAAATTAAGAAAAAATTAATAATAATTAATAAAATGAAATTAATCGAGAAGTATTCGTAAATCAAGAATATTGAGATAATCAACTACAAGAAAGATTAAGTAACAACATTTTGGTTTGAAACGCAGGTGCGAACAAAAGAGACGCGGGAGTGACGAGTCCTTTGGACCTTTCGAGTCCCGGTGGTTTCGCACCTCGCAAGCGGCAAAGACCGGAAACAAGAAGATCCGAAAGCGTATCTCCCAAGCCGAAACCTACCGCGAGACCAATCACACCTCCGCCAGTCAGGTGTCCGACGCTCTATGCTCACATGCCCTGCGGCGACGGACAAGCCGTGAATCGCTGGACCATCGAGGACGTCGTCAATTACGTCTCGTCGATCGACATCTGCGCCGAGTACGCACAGGTAAGTCGAGCGGAACTTTTTTTTTCCACGACGCTATTTTCTGCGAGACAAATCGCAGACGATTTGATGCAGATACATCATTCTTCGTGCTATTTCTCTATAGATTTATTTGCGATAATTTTGTTTGAGAAATATTTCTATAAATTTGAAAGAAAGGAGATATATTTATGTGTAAAAAAAATGATTAATATAACAATCAATTTTAATAATTTATAACGATTACACAACAAAGTTTGCTTATTTATTAAAGTAAAAAAAAAAAAAACATATAAGATTTCAGTCGTGACTCGTAAAATTGTGCTTTGGATAATATGTGCCTCCTATTTTTAATTGCTTTTGAAAGTCAACCCCGTAATGACGCGCTCGTTGCGGTCCATCGCGCAATATCTTCTCGAGGCAGCAAAGCGATCTAGAAGGCTTTGAATGACCTGACATCAGTCAATCTAGACAGTCTGGCATTAGCGAGTAGGGAGAGACGGAGCGCCAACGAGAGTTCTATAATGACCCCTCGAAGCTAACGTCGACCCTCCACCCCCTCTCTAGTTTATAGCATCTACACTTTCTCCTCTTGTTCTCTCTCTCTTTTTCACTCTTTCTTTTCTCTCTTTATTTCTTTACCGTTCGAAGCGAAATGCGTGCGCGAATACGATCTCGCCACTGCTCGCAATGACAGTTTTATGAACCACTTAACACATTCTTCATCTCCGGGAAAGACGTGGGCGTGACTTTCAGATGTCCATTGAAATTATTCGCGACCACATACTCATTCGATTCAAATGTTCCCGCTTGTTTTTCTCTATTTAGAAGCGCGTAATTTCGCTAGACAGTAACGACCTTTCGTCTTAAAACTGGGGCGCGGTCCACTTTCTCGGCCCCGTCCTTACTCGCGATCGTCGAGAACCGTACGATGAATGGTTTCATAATTCGCGATAAAACGGAGAGATGTAATTACCGAGCTGCTGCCTGGTAGACGCAAATTGATTAATTATAGATAACCCGACACGCTTATCTCGCACGTACACGATACGATCTTCCACTTTGCGAATCGACGGGGTCACGGAGCGGGGGGCTCTCGAACCGCGCCACTCCTCGCGAGACTTCGTGACAGAAGTTATTCCTCCGGCTGTCACATCGTTCACTCACACCTGACAGAGAGCAAGAATCATGACTTCACCGCGATAGAAAAATTCCTCATCCGTGTCACGAGAGTCGCAAAATATCCTCTCACTTCACTTTGGGAAGTTATTTCGCAATGAGAAATGAAGACTCGATACATATTTACGGCGGCTCCTTCATATAAACCTAATAAATATTTCATGATTATTAAGGAGAATATAACGTCAACGTCGAACTCAAAAATCTTTGCATCACCGATTCATGTGATGAGATTGAACATATCCAATATACTTACTAATAAACTTATTTTAACGAAGGTAATTTATTGGTCCGTGTCGAAATTAAATTCGATCACGTCGCGGTGCCCGATTTTGCAGTATCCTCCGCGAGATAAGGATCGACGTGTCGTCTCGGGGCTTCGCATAAAGTGCACGGCGGTCGTCTCGGTATTCTGCGACGAGGTTCACGAAGAAGAGCGGCCTCTCTTATCTATATATGCTCTCATGGTTGGCCCTCGTCATTCTTGAATCGAGTCGACGGCTGATCGAAGCACTCGAGGACCCCGCCGTCTCCTTCTACCGCCGCTTCGGCGTTCGATTACATTCGAGTATTCATGAATATGCATGACGAGAGGTGGGCGCCCGCGCAAAAATTTACGGCCCTGACAGTCTGACGTTTCGAGGACCGCGACTGCGTTCGCGCGAACGAGCACGCGCGCGCGAGCATCTGAACGAGGCCTAACGATTGCCGAGGATAATCGAAACTGACGTGCCCCCAGGGACCTCGCTACACTTCTCGAGAGAATCAGTGTTCGAGAGGAATCTTGGTACCGTCATCTGTAACGAGCATATATTATAATCTCGGGATAATCTCTGATAATGATTTTGCAAGTGAATTAATGAATTCTTTAGCGATATATTAAAAATATATATGTATTAAAAACATATAATATATATTATATATATAATATTGTATATGTGCGGACTCGATCATATTATAATTAATTATATCACGAGATAATATCATGAAAATGGCGATAATTAATGCGGCAATTTGTGCGTTTGTCTGTTATTAATGTCCGGTTTAATGCGAATGCAAGTGTAACGATCACGCGAATACGCAATATTGGATCGTTAAAATACGTAAAAGTGAAATCTAAATAAATCGTTTAAGGATTATAAAGTGGAGCCGTAATATTCTCTATGTGCGATCGTCAATTATATTTGAATATTTTGCGCATGCAATATTCGATTCACTGTCGAATTACCACGATGAATTTCGAGTGCAAAGAGCACGATCTCGATGCTCATCTCGAGTTCCGCAATGGATCCTCCTGGAATTATGGCATCGATATAATAGTATCGATAAAATCTATAAATATAAAATTTTTGAATATTTAAATATATTATATTTTAATATTTTTTAAAATATTTTATATTTTATTTTTATCGATGATTATTATATTTTCGAGATTATAATCTCGAAAAGGATGACATCAATTGAACGGCAAAAGCGATCCTTCCGTAGATTAGCTCGAATTTTGGCGATGAACCTTATATCTTATACAATATTATTGCGAATTGTACGCTTATTTTCGTTCGAGCCAACTATGCGAGATTATCTCAGATAAACGTAAAAATTATCGTTGCAAAATTTTATACAAATACTTATAATTAATACTTCGTACGTTGAGTATTTATTTTTACGACGAAGAAAATTTGAAGTCGATTCTATTTTGGCATATTAATAATTATAATGAATATTTTACTGGGATAATCACATGTGATACGCGCTATTAGTAATGCAAGAAATTTCAATATTGATCAATCATATTTATAAATTCTATGCATAGTTCTAAAAGATTTTATTTATACGATTTGATTTAGGTGACAAATATTAAATCATAAAAATTAGTTAGATTCAAAACTTTAATCTTTGCAATTTTATTTCTTAAAATTTCGACGAAACTTTTCATGAAGGATGACATCCGTAAATTATTATGCATCATGTAAACGCGAAGAGTAAAAGTAATTGTAATATATTCGTTTAACGATATATGTCGTTGATTGCTAGGGAATGATGGGTACGTAGGTGTAACTTATCGCAACGGGGAGAACGTCAAGTGGGTATAAGAGATTCTGTCTGCTCGAAAGACTCGAACGAGGGGGTTAAAGCAACCGCTGCATACATAAGCGCGACTGCGCGTCCTGGCTGACATAAGATCGTTCCGTCCTGGATCGTTAGAAAGTCATGAATGTGGATCGACCCGGTCCATATGTCTTCCGTGATGCGGAGCACACGAAGGATACAGTGTCCTCACGTCCCACGCACGCTCCTCCGTTGTATTCGTTTGTCGCTAGCGTTTTATCGGTCTGGTATTTGTCAACTATTCAGGATCAGTCTTCGACTATATGCTTTAATCGAGCGTTTCTCGATTTTTGGATTCCGATTAATCGAACGAAATTGATCGGAAACACTTTTATTTATATTTTTTATCTATCTTTGAAGGAAAACTTACTTGAATCTAATCTTGAAACATTAATAGGGTGTCTATTTCTTGGAAAAACATGGAAAAGCTGCAATTCTTAGGGATTTCTTTTGTACCTGGAAAGATCAGGAAATTTTCGTGGAATTTTATTGGATTCAGAGAATTTCTTAAAGAAATCTTTTGTTTAATAATTTTGCTCTTATACAGTAAATAGTCGGCAAGCCAAGTAAGTTATGTGTTTAAAATATCTTGTAGCGTATTTATGTATATGTGTAATATTTTTGAGGAGCAGAATGAGAAAGAAAGAAAAGAAAATATTGTTCAAAACTAAAAAAATTTTGAAAAACTTTTATTCGTATGCTTAAAGAAGAAGGAACGAATTAAAATCGTCGAGATATGTTTTATATCTTTTATAATGTCTGTTATATTAATAGATGATAAGCCAGAAAAATAAACGATATAATTTATATTAATAAAATATCACTTAATACTTACATACATCATACAACATTATAATCAAATAATGTAACAAACTTGGATAACGAGTGTGGCTTCAATCATTTAAACTCATTGCAGCTTTATACATACATATATATATATATATATATATATTTAGTTTTTCATATTTGTATCTATGTATCTATACCTTCCTTTTCCATGATATAATGTCACACAATTTTATGCGTCCACTTCCGATAAATAAATTCAATCTCAGAACGATTTATTTTTGTAAGTTTTTTTAAAATGAGTTTTGGACAAGTTTTCCACTTTTTTAAAGAATTGAACTGTCTCCTTTCCAGTCTTTCTCCGTCCCGACATAATTATTTTTAAGAGGAACAAATGTGCACTGCTATTTTTACAGCACTCGCACCGGAATAATATAAATTTTATTTCTAAAACATTGAAGAAAGAATCGTTTTTTCGGTCCAAGATTCTGGAAGTCGACGAAATTATGTCGTTAATAAATAAAATGATAAATGCACCATGAAAGATACCATAGTTTCTCTTTAACCAAAGATACATAACTTTATGGCAAACGATGCTATCGTAAAAGCACATGCCCGCTCTAATATCTCTACCTTTTTGTACGATTCGATAAGCGTCAACTTTTTAATTTCTCTTGTTCTATCGCTTTTTCCCTTTTTTTTTTTGCTATAAAATATGTGATATTTTTTTATGTGAAATATACGATATTTACACGTTTCTTTTTCCTCTTTATGAGCAGAGTTTGGCCAATTTTATTTCAAGTAATAAATTATAAATAAAGAATAAACCACTAGATTCATATGTAAATAACAAAAAATATTTTATTTCGAATTAAATTTATCTCTTAATAATCAATAAATCTTTATTTTTATGTGTATTATTATTTCTAAGTTTATTAACTTATAAATAA